TTTCTTTTTCCTCTAACAACTGTTGTAATTTCTCTTCTCGTTTATTTTCTTTTTCCTCTAACAACTGCTGTAATTTCTCTTCTTGTTTCTTTTCTTTTTCCTCTAACAACTGCTGTAATCTCGCTTCTTGTTTCTTTTTATTTTCCTCTAACAACTGCTGTAATCTCTCTTCTTGTTTAATTTCTCGTTTTTCTTGTTTCTTTTGCTGCTCTTGTATTGCTGCCATCAAGTCTGCTATGCTGTAGTTTGATTTGCCGCTTCTCGTTTCCATTTTTTCTTATCCCACTTCTGACACCAATTTGTTACGTCTCCGTTTGTTAATTGATTTTCCGTAACTTCGTTCCGACGAAACTTAAGCGACACAAGTTCTTTACTTAATAAAACTGGTTTATTCTTTCCGAATACAACTTTACCGATACACTCAACTTCAACAATCGCGCTAAACAAACGCTATAACAACGAACGTGCTCAATAATACTTCTGACTGCAGATCAATTACTCACTGTCTACACACACATTACATTCCGTTTCCGTCACATTGTCACCCTCTTTTATATACCAGTCTACCCTCTATCTAGTAAATACTAGAGCATTCGCCAAAGTACAGGATAGTTCTAGAAAGTAGAGGGCGCCACACCAGTCACGTGACCTCGATGACGCAACAATATTAAATAAACTTGGTTCTTGATAACTTAATTTATTCTTTCCATAGTTATTTTTTACTTTGGGTAATATAATATAATTTATAATAGCCTAAATTGTCTTGTATTTTTGTCATGATCTATTGTAACTTTAAAAGGCGATAAAAAAATAATGCTTTATTATAATAATTTAAACACATTCATTACATTCAAAGTTACATATATCTTTCATAAGCAATCATATAATTTATTTTTTCTTATGGATAAAAGATTATTTACTATACTATTTTGTAAGTGCAATATTTTGCTTAGCTAAGAATTGTAAGTAGACCCATATATTGTTATACCATAACTATTCACATAAAGATGTATAAAACAACTTGCACACAGGAGTATTAAATTGAAGTTTATAACTCCCCTACAGCTGAAAGATCAACCATGTTCATTGACAGGGATTCAAATCTATGACCCTCAGATTGCAAGTTGCACATCTTAACCACCAGACCATACCATGAAATTTCTCAGGTGCTAATGTTTTGTATATTATTAAGCAAGAATTTTACATTGATACTTAATAGATTTTTTTAATGTTCACAAATTCCTTAATATTCTGATAATTTATCTTTTTTTTTAATGCAGGATTTACTCATCCAACTGGTGGTTCACTTTGTTTTCATTAAGATAATATATTTCTCAATGTAATCATATATAATATTCCTGGAAATCACCTTTTCTTTTCCAATCAAAACAAAAACATTACAAACCTGTGCAATTAACTAAACAGCTTGTACTGATTGTTCCTGAAGGAGTATGGACTGCTTTCACTTTTTTAGTGCCAAATTCATTTTCTTCAACTTGTACATCAGTGACTGAACACTTTTCAATAACCTAAATAGTAAAAAACAATGTTGCTGTCATTTAATCTTTTTTAACTATTATAAGAAACTAATGCCAAGAAAATATTTTGAGTTAAACATAGCATTATGTCCAGTTAAAGATATGTAAACATGTACATTTCTACAGTTGCAACACTATGAATAAAAACAATCAAGATATTTATAGTTTCAATGATAATACATATGGCATTATTCTTGAAATAATAAGCTATTTTGTGCACAATGGTATACACTTATATAAAATATGTGAATATTTTGCTACAATAATTATAAATACTGTATTACATATTCATTTATCAGTTATTATTTCAAAGAAAATATACTTTTACAGAAATCTAATTTGTATTCTCACTTTTGCTCCTGCTCTAGTTGCTGCTCTTATTAGTGAATCACAGAACCCTGCAGGATCAACAGTTCCATCACCTGGACTGTATAGAGTACCATAAAGATCAGATACATTCATCAGTGGATACAACTTCTTAGTTTCTTCTGGTGACAAGACATAGGACTCGATGTTAAACACCTTTCCTATCTACATGTATAATAAAATTATCAAAAAGTTAAATCTGTAAAACAAAAAAAATATATATATATATATACATTTTGTAACTTGATGTTTGCATTAAATGAAACGTGAAAGTATCATCTACTATAGTAATTATTATGAAACGTGTGAATTATTTCTTATTGCCCAGATAAACATCCTGAAAGTCTTGCTCAATCTACATCCAGGCATCTTTATAATGAAACGCTTCACGTTAAGACTTTATCATTAAGAATATCAAACATTAAGCACAGTCAAGGTAAAGGTTATCAAACTGACAAAACATTCACATATCAAACAGTTTGGTTGGGAACAGTACATGTCTCATAATTATTTTCAGTGACAGTTTAATAGCATTATGCATCATCTCATACCAAAAAGAATCAGTTTAATCCAGTAAAACAAAGACTTATTATTAGATAACTAGTAATGTTTGCAATAGAAAGATAAAACTGTAGCTAAACCAAGCTAGTTAGTAAGCCAGCTAACCATCCAGTCACGTTATTTAGCTTATGAAAGTCGGAACCCAAAACCTTATGTTTACAGTCAGCAGCATCCTCATCATGCAAGGTTCATTTCTGCCATAAGCTGTTTCTTTGTACTAATAATATGTAAAGAATGAACTCCAGTAAAGTATCAGTGTAATTTGAGAAATTAAATAAAAAATTTTTGTGGTATTGGGAAGATTTAAAAAACTAACAAACACCAAATAATTAGAGAAAAATAAAAAAACAGTGCTCTACATTTTACAATGTCAATCTAATAAATATTATGCATTTTTGGAAACCATTCAGTACACTATTGTTGTAATTGTTATTACTGGCTTGAAGAATTAAGTAAAATGTATTATCTGTTCTGTCTCCTTGTTTCTCACATAAACATCTTTCACTTGTTGATTTGTGAAAAAATTAATGAGTGTATTTTTCTGGTATTTTAAAGTAAATATTACTTATGACTGGTTTGTTATTTCACATTTAAAAATATCTTTTAAAATAGATCTACATTTTTTGTTATTAAATAATCCTACTAAAGATATTTATTTGTTTGACTACATTATAATAAATATTGTAAATAATATATTTAAATTCAAATATCCTATTGCAAAATATGTGACCAAATAATATTCAACTTTAACAAATACTCTGTGGTGAAGTATACAGATAAATAATAGAATATTCAACACTAACAAATTCTGTGACAAAATATGTGAATGAGGTATTACCTAAAAAACATTTAACAAAATAAAGGCTACATTTAAAAATAAAATTGAATAACCCTGTGCTTAATACTCAAATACATTAACATTACTTAAAAATGTATTTCCAACAGATACTCGCCCCTTCACAAAGCTCAGCTATCTTCCTCAGCACATCCGCCAAAGAGATTTGTATGCCACTAGCCTTGAGGTAACTCCTACCTAATTTCACATTATTTTACCTGAATTGCACCGCTGCATGGTGAAATCATCATACAACAAAAGCCCTCCACCAATAGAAGGGCAACACACCACCATGAGCACTAACTTCCCCAATGCATTTGCATTCATGAATCTTTATTCTTTGATGAGGTAAGTAAGAAACTGTGCATCAAAAGTTGGGAGGATTGGTGGGAATGTGTGTGTACAGGTGAGTATGTAGTGGATATACATTTTCAGGTAAAGAAACTTAAATTCCAAGACAATGATGTATCTCTACACAGAGATTAGCTAGAATCCCAAATTGATATGGTGGAGGGATCAGGGACCTAGATGAGCACTCTTCAGAAAATGTCTAAAGGATGCCCATGAGTTATGACACCTGATGGTAGGGGCTCCATTGGGGCACATCCATTTTGCATCTTGTCTCATCCAGAGTATACTCTTAATTTGTATAGGACAAGGTAAGAGGCATAGAAGCTAAATCTACATCACAGGGATAGGTGGAATTAAAATATGACCATCCAAGTACTTGCACACAAGTTGTTGGGCAGCCAATATTTCTAATGTAGTTGAGGTGTATTCAGACCACACCTTGTATACTCATTTGAACTCTACCATCAGACTCCCAGGGACAGACTCCCAGTGTGAGAGGAGGGCACATGGTTATGTAATATGAATACTTGTGCACACCTCAATTCTACTGTCAGACACTACAGGAAGAAGAGTATGTTAGAGATAAATCATAGGATTGTATAGTGTGCTTGCCTAAACTCTACCATCAGACTCTAAGGGACAGACTCCCAGTGTGAGAGGAGGGCACATGGTTATGTAATATGAATACTTGTGCACACCTCAATTCTACTGTCAGACACTACAGGAAGAAGAGTATGTTAGAGATAAATCATAGGATTGTATAGAGTGCTTGCCTAAACTCTACCATCAGACTCTAAGGGACAGACTCCCAGTGTGAGAGGAGGGCACATGGTTATGTAATATGAATACTTGTGCACACCTCAATTCTACT